ATCATTATTTGGACTTGTCTTGAGAGATAATCCATGATTCCCCTTTGATGCGCTCTCAAAACTTTAACAATATCGGCAACAGGTTCATCATCCATATCATCAGGGGTATGATTCCTTGCCCACCGAGCATTTCTTTCTACTCCATTAGAAGTTGGCTTATTCCCATTAAGACGAGTTTCGCTGATTGAACAGTCATGTTGATTTTTATCACGGAGATTGTCCACGGGCTCGTCGTTGTTGTTTGTTCCAACATTGAGCAAGTTGTTGACGTCATTGGGCGCCATGTAGTTTTATGCTTACAACATAAGAGCTTCAAAGTACTTTAGTAAAAGATGACCAGATCAAAATAATACCACAACTGTCTAAGACCCACAGTGGGCGCCACACTGTTTACGAGTAAAATGATATAATTTAATATGTAACGTAATTTATAGACATGTAGATTAAATCGATCCGAAAAATAAAGTAATGAAAAATTATATTGTACAAAATAAGAATAGTTGAAGAAGAGACAAATCCGAGCTTCAGAATGTTCCCTCCAGGATCGAGAATAATTGAAAAATCTCGAGAATACTTGTATAAAGCTTAAAAGAACGCGAGAAAGAATTCTAGTCCTTTGCTATCAATATTTTTTGATCTCTCACAATAGAATGAAAGCCTCTATTTATACCAAAGCTATAGGGTGCATGATTACAATTTATGCCCCATTAATTACCAATATTAATGTTATAGTAAAATGTAATTAAAAAGTGATAAAGAATAATAAAGGGTAATAAAGGTCGGAGGAATCTCGGGGTCTCTAATAACGTTTCTATGACGGTCATATCTTGAATTATTTCTTATTGTGCCACAGGTTTATATCCGGTAATACCATGGTTGAGTCATTGTTGACTAGTCATCCTTGACACGTGCCGCTTCTTAATTTACCCAACTCTTGAGACCGATTTTTACCGTACACATTAAGTTTTGATGCTTTTTAAGTTTAGTGTGAGAGTATAAAATTGAACCATATCTTTTTGAAAAAATTCTGATCCACTCGAGCGTTTATTTCCCTTATAAACCTTATAAGCTCAGTCTTGAAAGGATCGTTTGCGTGGTTTTTGTTTTCAGATCCAATACTAGCACCACCTATTTGATTGTTGTTTAATCTGAACTTACCCTGGTAACGGTGTTACCGGTTCTTGGTATCGTTTGATTTATAAGAATGCTAGAACGGGCTCGAACTACACCATTGGAATTATTGGAAGCAACCGACAACGCTTGCCGGAGCTCAATCATTATTCGGTCCTATCTTGAGAGATGATCCATGATCTCCCTTTGATGCGCTCTCAAAACGTTAATGATAACGGCAATGAGTTTATCATCCATATCATCAGGGGTAGAATTCCTTGCCCGCCGAGTATTTCTTTCTACTCGATTAGAAGTTGGCTCATACCCGTTAAGATGAGTTTCACTAATTGAACAGTCTTGTTGATTTTTATCACGGAGATTGTCCACGGGCTCGTCGTTGTTTTTTGTTCCAACATTGAGCAAGTTGATAACGTCATTGGGCGCCATAGTTATTTTATGCTTACAACATAAGAGCTTCAAAGTACTTTAGTGAAAGATGATGAGATCAAAATAATACCACAACTGTCTAAGACCCACAGTGGGCGCCAAACTGATTATCGGTAGAAAGGTATAATTGAATTTGTAACGTGATTTATAGACATGTGGATTAAATTGATCTGAAAAATAAAGTAATGAAAAACAAAATTGAATAACATAAGAATAATAGAAGAAGAGACATATATGAGCTTCAGAATGTTCCCTCCGGGATCGAGAATAATTGAAAAATCTCGACAACACTTGTATAAAGCTTAAAATAATGCGAGAAAGAATGAGCTTCAAAGTACTTTAGTAAAAGATGACCAGATCAAAATAATACCACAACTGTCTAAGACCCACAGTGGGCGCCACACTATTTACGAGTAAAACGGTATAATTTAATTTGTAACGTGATTCGCAGACATGTAGATTAAATAGATCCAAAAAATAAAGCAATGAAAAATAAAATTGAACAAAATAAGAATAATTGACTTCAGAATATTCCCTCCGGGATCGAGAATAATTAAAAAATCTCGACAACACTTGTATAAAGCTTAAAAGAACGCGAGAAAGAATTCTAGTCTTTTGCTATCAGTAGCTTTTGATCTCTCACAATAGAATGAAAGCCTCTATTTATACCAAAGCTATGGGTGCATGATTACAATTTACGCCCATTAATTACCAATATTAATGTTATAGTAAAATATAATTAGAAAGTGATAAAGAATAATAAAGGGTAATAAAGGTCGGAGGAATCTCGGGGTCTCGATAACGTTTCTATGACGGTCAAATCTTTAATTGTTTCTTATCGTGCCACAGGTTTATATCCGGTATTACCATGGTTGAGTCATTGTTGACTGGTCATCCTTGACACATGTCGCTTCTTAATTTACCCAACTCTTGAGACCGAATTTTTACCGTACACATTAAGTTTGGATGCTTTTTAAGTTTAGTGTGAGAGTATAAAATTGAACCATATCTTTTTGAAAAAATTGTGATCCATTCGAGTGTTTATTTCCCTTATAAACCTTATAAGCTCAGTCTTGAAAGGATTGTTTGCGTCATTTTTGTTTTCAGATCCAATACTGGCACCACCTATTTGATTGTTGTTTAATCTGAACTTACCCTGGTAACGGTGTTACCGATTCTTGGTGTCATTTGATTTATAAGAATGCTAGGACGGGCTCGAACTACACCATTGGAATTATTGGAAGCAACCGACAACGCTTGTCGGAGCTCAATCATTATTCGGTCCTGTCTTGAGAGATAATCCATGATCTCCCTTTGATGCGCTCTCAAAACTTTAATAATATCCGCAACGGGTTCATCATCCATATCATCAGGGGTAGCATTCCTTGCCCGCCGAGTATTTCTTTCTACTCGATTAGAAGTTGGCTCATTTCCGTTAAGACGAGTTTCACTGATTGAACAGTCATGTTGATTTTTATCACGGAGATTGTCCACGGGCTCGTCGTTGTTATTTGTTCCAACATTGAGCAAGTTGATAACGTCATTGGGCGCCATAGTTATTTTATGCTTACAACATAATAGCTTCAAAGTGCTTTAGTGAAAGATGACCAGATCAAAATAATACCTTAACCGTCTAAGACCCACAGTGGGCGCCAAACTGATTATCGGTAGAACGGTATAATTGAATTTGTAATATGATTTATATACATGTGTATTAAATTGATCCGAAAATAAAGTAATGAAAAATAAAATTGAATAAAATAAGAATAATTGAAGAAAAGACAAATATGAGCTTCAAAATGTTCCCTCCGGGATCGAGAATAATTGAAAAATCTCGACAACACTTGTATAAAGCTTAAAAGAATGCGAGAAAGAATTCTAGTCTTGTGCTATCACTATTTTTTGATTTCTCACAATAGAATGAAAGCCTCTATTTGTACCAAAGCTATGGGGTGCATGATTACAATTTATGCCCCATTAATTATCAATATTAATGATATAGTAAAAGGTAATTAAAAAGTGATAAAAAATAATAAAGGGTAATAAAGCTCGGAGGAATCTCGGGGTCCCTGTAACGTTTCTATAATGGTCACATCTTGAAGTGTTTCTTATCGTGCCACTGGTTTGTATCCGGTATTACGATGGTTGAGTCACTGTTGACTGGCCATCCTTGACATGTGTCGCTTCTTTATTTACCCAACTCTTGAGAGCGATTTTTACCGTACACAATAAGTTTTGATGCTTTTTAAGTTTAGTTTTAGAGTATAAAATTGAACCATATATTTTTGAAAATATTAATTTTTTCCCTTATAAACCTTAAGAATAATTGTAACGTAATTTATACACATGTGGATTAAATTGATCCGAAAAATAAAATAATGAAAAACAAAATTGAATAAAATAAGAATAATTGAAGAAGAGACAAATATGAGCTTCAGAATGTTCCCTCCGGGATCGAGAATAATTGAAAAATCTCGACAACACTTGTATAAAGCTTAAAAGAATGCAAGAAAGAATTCTAGTTTTGTGCTATTAGTATTTTTTGATCTCTCACAATAGAATGAAAGCCTCTATTTATACCAAAGCTATTGGGTGCATGATTAACCAGAAAAGTTTGGGTAGAGCCGGATCTAAGCGTTGGCTAGGTAAGCGTCCTGTAGGGAGAGGAGTAGTTATGGACCCTGTAGACCATCCCGAGGGAGGTGGTGAAGGGAGAGCCCCAATTGGTAGGAAAAAACTCACAACCCATTGGGGTTATCCTGCACTTGGAAGAAGAAGTAGGAAAAGGAATAAATATAGTAATAATTTGATTCTTCGTCGCCGTAGTAAATAGGAGAGAAAATCGAATTAAATTCTTCGTTTTTACAAAAAAAAAAAAAATAGGAGTAAGCTTGTGACACGTTCACTAAAAAAAAAAAAAATCCCTTTGTAGCCAATCATTTATCTAATATTTATGATATTTATGCCATATTAATTACCAATATTAATGTTATAGTAAAATATAATTAAAAAGTGATAAAGAATAATAAAGGGTAATAAAGGTCGGAGGAATCTCGGGTTCTCTATAACATTTCTATAACGGTTATATCTTGAATTGTTTTTATCGTGCCACAAGTTTGTATCCGGTATTACCATGGTTGAGTCATTGTTGACTGGTCATCCTTAACACGTGTCGCTTTTTAATTTACCCAACTCTTGAGACCGATTTTTACCGTAGACAATAAGTTTTAATGCTTTTTAAGTTTAATGTGAGAGTAGAAAATTGAACCGTATCTTTTTTAAAAATTAAAGTCTTCGCATCGATCGATACAAATTTTAAGAAATAAAAAAAGACTTTATTGTAAGAAAACATTTCTTCTAAGTGACTCGAGTGTACGTCCTACAACAAATTAGGACTCATAGCGCCATTTACAAAAGTTGAAAGGTTTACTATTTTAACCCTTTCTTTCCCCTGATAGCAATTTCCCTAAAACACCTTCCCACAAAAGCGTCACACATAGAACCCCATCTCCGCCTCCGGCCACACTCATCAATCTCCGAGCCGCCTTTAGGGTTTCGAATCGCCGGAAAAATCCGATTTTGCGACGAAACTGTATAGGTGATTGGGGTAATTGTATGATAATATAAAGATGCCACCAAAGCAATCGAAAGCGGATTTAGCGAAGAAGCAGAAGGTAGTAGAAGACAAGACATTCGGTCTGAAAAACAAAAATAAGTCCAAAAATGTCCAGAAATATGTTCAGTCCCTTAAGCAAAATGCCGTGCCTAAACCTGACCCTAAGAAACTTGATGCCAAGGTAGTACGCTATTTTGAGTTATTATTATTTTGTTTGTGTTTTTCCCCGATAGATATACACCGTTGAAGTAAACGATTGATCTCTATCGTATCAAGCGCTATTCATATAGCTGTCCTCGCCTAGATTATTGAGGCGTAAATGTTGTATTATTTTGTTGTGTGAATTATTGTTGTCTTATGAAGGGTAGAGAGGACTGATATAGCTGACCCGACTAATTTGGAATTGACACATAGTTGTATTTTATTCTAGTTAGATCTTTTTCGAACTGAAATAGAGCTGGTGGATACAAAGGATTCATATATCTTACCCTAATTAGCTTGGTTTTGAGATGTAGTAGTATTTTCAAATAACAGTGGTGTCCGGCCTAGCTTGCGTGCACCTCAACCAAGCTAATAGCCCGTTTGGCCAAGCTTCAAAAATAAGCTTATTTTGAGAAGTGTTTTATCTCAAAAATATTTTTCTTAAAAGTACTTTTGGTGAGAAGCAATTTGTGTTTCGTTAATTAATTTGAAAAGCACTTCTTAGCAACAATTAGTGTTTGGCCAAGCTTTTAAAAAGTGCTTCTAAGTGTATTTTTCTCAAAAGTGTTTTAAAATAAATGCTTTTGGAGAAAAGCTATTTTTTTTTGCTTTCCTAAACTGCTTCAACTTCTACTCAAAATGCTTTTTTCTTCTCTTTTCTAAAAGCTTGGCCAAACATTTCAAGTTTGGAAAAAAGTAATACTTTTTTTTGGAAAAAACTGCTTTTGGCTTTGGAGAAGCTTGGCCAAATATGCTATAACTCTGACCACCAAGGCTTGAGCAGATGGGAAGAAATCAGTTGTGTTTTTTTGCCTCCTCTCGGATTTGAACCCTAGACCTCATGGTTCTCTTTTCACTTCATTGACCACTTGGTCACACCCATTGGTGCTTGAGACGTGGTTGTTGTAGTTTTTTTTTTTTTTGATTTTTAAGCCCAAATAAGGCAGGTTGAATACAGACCTCTATATAGCCGACTCCAACTAACTTGGATTTGACTACATAGTTGTTGCATTTTTTGTTTGTGCCGTTTCAAGACCAAATAGATTGAATGAATTGAATCACATAGCTGGCCGCCTGACCCCAATTATTATGTGATTGTTTGTAGTTTCTGTAGTATTATTTTTGTGTGATCTTTTGCTTAAATGTTGACAAGTAAGCTCAATTTTGTCACAGAAAAAGAAGGAAGAAGAGAAAGCCAAAGAGAGAGAGCTGAACGAATTGTTCAAAGTCGCTATTAGCCAGCCTAAAGTGCCTCTTGGTATTATTCATGTTCTTCTTTTACTGATTTCTGGCATCAATATTTTTTTGTTGTTGGTGCATAGTAGTCTCAATATTAAAGAGTTACGGTGGCTTTGTTTGATCGAAACAATTGAAAATGTAGTGTAGGAAGACTTTATAGCAATTATCTGCTCTTTCCTACATCAAATTGGGTCTGTCGAAGGCTGAATTATAAACTTGACTTTTTGCCAGTTTTTATAAAGCTGATAAACGTTGTAACTTTATTATGGCAATTCCGAATATAGCTTAATATCAACCTGTCAATTTATTTCAAGAGAAACTTTTTATCGTTCGTAGTTGATTATCATTGTCTCTTATCAGTAATAGTTTGTTTTGTTTCACTCGTTTCTTGCTTTAAAGGGTTGATCTTGTTTCAAATTTTCATATGAAATGCTGCTGCAAAAATTATCATATTTCAAGAACGTTGGGAATTTGTGTTCAGGTGTTGATCCAAAATCAATCTTATGTGAGTTCTTTAAGGCGGGGCAATGTGCTAAGGGTTTCAAGTGCAAGTTCTCTCACGATCTGAATGTTCAGCGAAAAGGAGAGAAGATTGATGTTTTCAGTGATAAGCGTGATGAAGGTGGTCAAACAACACCTTAACAGACATTTTGCATAAACTTTTCTGTTTCTGTGTAATAATCTGTATTATGGTTTTGGTGTTTATTAACTGGCATTTCTTGTCTAAAACGTAGATGGAAAGGAAACAATGGAGGATTGGGATCAAGAGACATTGGAGAAGGTTGTGGCATCAAAAAGTCAGGAGTATAACAAGAACAAACCAACTGACATTGTAAGTGTTATCTTTTCCAGAATATACCTTGAACTGCTTTGGTCCAAACTTGAAAGTCATATTCCGGGGATGACTTGAATTTGTGATCGGACTCTTTGAATCATTTGATATCCGCTTACCAATATAGCAGTGATTTTCAGGATAAAATTCATTGCATATGATCTCTAAATGGTTACTTCCTTACCTCGTTTACTTTCCACCGATACTTACTATTGTGAGGAAACTTTGGTTATGGTATATTTGTATAAATTGAAATCCTTATGTGGTCAAGTATTTATCTTCCAGGAGATACAAGAGACCATCATTGCATTGTGTTTTAGACGTCAGACGAGTATGCAATAACTTGGTAACTAGTCATAGAACTTACAGAATCTGCAGACATTGCACCTAATGTCCTTTCTTGATGATTTTTATCTCAATTAAATTGCCGAATTCTGTAAAGTAAATGGGTGAAAGATATGGGAAAAAGTAGTTTTTTTGTTGTTGTTGTTGATAAAGTACTAAGTTTATTAATATGTGGGCAAACAGAAGTAGCTAATAATGAGGAATCAGTGTGCTCATAGACTCAGGAAGTAACATACTGAAGAAAGGCTCTCTCAGAGATATTTTCAATGAAGAAAGGTTCTTCCACACTTTTGCATTACCAGGCATTTTGTTGTTGGATTTGACGCTCTCTGCTACATGTTGTATGACTTTTCAGAGGCTTCCTAGAAGTTGGTCTGCTACCACCTGCAGAAAGCAACTGCGAATTTATTGTGATCATCATACTATGCCTGGTGACAAGAACAAACTAATCCATTGAAATGGAACAAAGCTTACAAACTAGATATGGCTATTTTGATATCCTACTATCATCCACAAAACAGAAAAATATTCTCACTAAAGCAATAGAAACTACAATTTTTCATAATTTAGTAATACGAAGGAGAAATGGTAAACCACAGAGCAGATCTTTTAGTACTGCTCTTTTTAAATGAAATATTCTTTTCTGTTGATCCCAAAAGATAGAACTATTTACCAGTTCATGAACTGTACTATCCTTTGCTCAGAAACATCTACATGTTTAGGAAAGAGAAGACAGAAGATTGCAATCAGATTCAGTGACAGCTGAAAACAGAGCTTGTCATATTCACCAAAAAATTGGAATCCCCTTAATTTTGTTGAGCTAATCCATGATATTCTGGTTGATATTGAGGTTTGGTTGAGTGATTCCATGGTTCCTAGTGATTGTGTATCGTAATCTCAAGAATATGGATGGCAAAATGTTATGTACCTAGCCGTCTTGTCAAAGGCTCATTTAAGGCGCGCTTAAGCCCTGAAGCTCAAAAAAGCTCAAGGAGGGTGCTTCGCCTCGCTTTAGTTGCGCTTCAGTGTAAGGCAAGGCACTAAGGAGTGCGCCTCATTGCCCATGCTTTCTCTCTTGAATCAAGCAGCACTAAAAAACAACTATAATCAGAAATAAGTGTATTAGCTGCTAAGGGAAACATTATCAATGAATTTGTTACTTTGTTCTTGAAATACATACTATAAATTTTTATTTATTTCCTTCATTGCGCCTTTTTTAACTTAAGCCAACACTTTAAGTGCGCTTTGCGCTTAAAGCCCAGATAGACCTAGAGCGTTTTTTAGAACTTTTCGCCTTTGACAACACTGGTACCTAGAAATCAGGACAGACTGGAGGAAATGATGCGAGGTGAATATAAACTCGTGTATCTCTTGGATAAGTGTTATGATAGATAGACTTTTAAAAGTTCGTGGTTAGTTGTCATGCTCTGGCCAATAGGATGACCTTAAAAGCCCCCAGGGCTGTGGTTTAATGGTAAGGACGCGCCGCAGAAGGTGTGGATTGAGCGTGCGTCACGGGTTTGGACCTTGCCGTTGACACAAAGCCTAAGTGGGAGCAGGGGAGATTGACAGGTCCATGCTCCCCAGAGTTTTGAGCATGTGAAAATAGGATGACCTAGATAGTTTGGTCGTGCAGAATGCATGCAATATCATTTAAGTATTTGTGGACATTGAGAGTTGGGAAAGAAATGTTCTGTCATAATTATTTTGATTTTTCATTGCATGGAACATGGGACTATGATATGTAGTCCTTTGGTTTGAGGTAGTAACTATGACCATATTCCCTCATTTTGAGGTGTATTTTATGCTTTCATTTTAGTTTGTCACTTGAAAAAGTCGTATTGTAGCAACAAATTTACTACTCTATTCCAGTTTCTTCAGCACACTTTCCTCTTTAGTCCATGCTAAAATAATAAAATAAAATAAAATAAAATAAAGATTGCTACCTTTTGTATCCAGAAACTATTTTATCTTTACATGCTCATTTTCTGCTTACTGTTATCTCCGCTGGATAGGAAAGGAGGGGTTCTTTTGGTGTTTTATGGCATTTATGCATATTTAGCTTATGTGTCTAAAGTTTTAACTTTTTCCTCAAATCCGCCTCCAGCTAAATACTGTCAGACAAATTGGAATGGAGGGAGTATTTGTTTCAGAATTCAAACTTTAGATTTGGCTTATATGCAGGTATGTAAATACTTTTTGGAAGCTGTGGAGAAAAAGCAGTATGGTTGGTTTTGGGTCTGTCCAAATGGTAGTAAAGAATGCCATTACAGGCATGCGCTTCCTCCTGGATACATTCTAAAGTCACAAATGAAAGCTTTGTTACAAGAGGAAGCTGACAAGATGCCTATTGAAGAAGAAATTGATGAACAGGTGACCGTACTATCTGAGTATTCATATTGCCAACTACCGACAGCCATTAAATTTTTTATAAACATGTTCATTAATGGAACTGCTTTACATGTTTTCTGCTCTGCCTGCAGCGTGCAAAATTGACTGCTTCAACTCCTTTGACCACTGAGTTGTTTATGGAATGGAAAAAGAAGAAGATGGAAGAAAGAGAGGCCAGTTTGGCTAAGCAGAGGGCAGATAGAGCTAAGAATGATCGCATGAGGTATCATTCTTTTCACTCCTTTTCCTCTTTAGTCAATAATATGTGGTTATCAGCTGGGAAAAGCTCTTTGGTGGATGCTTATACTAATTGGCAAATCTTATGCTCTCTTTCTTGCAGTGGTCGTGAGCTGTTCATGTCGGACGCTAGCTGGTTTGTGGATGATGTTGGGGCCTATGACAAGTATGAACGGGAAGAAGAGTCCAGTGAACCCCCAAAGGTGAATATGTTATGATCAATTTTTTTCCACTTTGTATATCCTTTGTTGGACTGTGTTGAGCATTCAAGATTTTTCGTTGTCCACTGGTGACTGTCATAGATCTACTCATCTATAGTACTGCATAACCTAGGATAGGTAAAATGTCTGGGATTGAGCAATTACCCTCTGTGTGTAGGGGTAAGAGAGCATAAAAAACAACAATGTATAATGATCTGTTGACTTTTAGCAATAATTCGCATTGTTAGATTAAACAGTGTCCATTTGATCAAAGTTTTAATTTGATTGAGATGCTTCTGGAGTCTTCATCATGATGAATTTTTCATTCATTTCTTAATCTAACTCGAGAGGAAGTCTTAGTCAGATTCACTTTTTGATCGGTAAGCCAGTCAGATTCACTTACTAGTACTGTTTCTTCACATGCTTTTTTTGGAATCCTCTCTGATTTTGTGACTATTGGGGTTTAAATTTATGAGGTTGATGTACTTCACCCTTTTTCCTGAAATTTTGAAAATTATGCTGATATAGTACCAGGGCGAGATATTCAGAGTTAAATATTTTCAGCTAAGTGATAGGTTGTACTAGGCAAAGATTAGGGGTTTTGCATCAAAATTTGTTCCCTCTACTTTCACCTGCCTTGGTAGATTGTATGCAGATTCGATAGAACTAGCAGATGATAATTCTTCTAAAATATGCAGAATGAAATACAAAATGGAAGACTAAAGCATCTATTTGAAAGCATTTACTTAACCACAGATCTTATTGATCATTAAAAGAGGTAAGTGTTGCTTCGGAGGGCCAAAGGATGGTGTTTGTAATCTAGCCATGACTTAGGAAAGTAGACAGAAAAGTGTGCATTCATGTGGTGGTGGTTGGTCTATGGCGGTATAAGCATTATTAGAAAGAGATTTGAAAATCCAAGTGTGTGTAATAGTTGCAGTGTTTTTCCGTTATGAATCGAAAGTTAAACAAAACTATGCCTATTAACCAATGATCCCCTGGTTTGGACATTTGATGAGCATGATAATGATGCCATGTGTTTTTGCTTGCTTATCAAAAAGAAAAAAAATTACTGTTGCCATGTGCATTTCTTGTGTTGTGCTGCTAGTTTATACGCTAAAGCGTCTGCATGTCATTTTCTAAATAGATTACATTTCCTTTACAGGAGAATAAGGAATCTGCTAGAGATGAGGCAAGCTCCTCAATGTCAGCCCGGGATATTCATGATGGTGGTGAGGCTTCTCATAACAATGAAGTTAATGACAATTATGATGATGATGACGACGACGACGATGATGATGACCTGGATGTGGACGAGTTAAATGAACTGGAAGCTAGCCTTTCAAAAACATCGTTACAAATCAATGAACCTGGTAGTCACGCTTGATCCTTGTGCCCAAATTTATGCGCACGATCTACTTTTCGGTGCATGCTCTTTCATGTCTACGTGATGCAGAATCATTATAGCATCCAAATGGAATGAATTGAAATGGAAGCATAGCATATCCGTGTCGTGATGCCCCTAATAATAGTTTGCTATTTTATTAGGCTTTTTACCCTCAGTTCAATGAGTTGTGACTGTTGCTTCTGGAATTTTGTGATGAATTGAACTTTTCTAGTCGTTTTGCCAGCCACAGAGAGAGCTATCATTTGTATTTTATTACTCTAGCTACTACTGCTACTACTATGCTTTGAAGCATGGGGTGGCCTTCTCCTGCCCTCAATAAATTACAGATTCTTTGAGGGCCATTATGTCATCTGTTGAGGTTTGTTGACAATTTTATAAGTGTTATGCTCTTTGTCATCTGCAAACATGTTCCAGGAAGTAATCAAAGTTCCATGTTTATTTTCACAGAACTGATAGAGAACTATGACCGTGCCTTCGCTTTCCTCTTTTTCCTTTCCGGCTTTTTATACCTAGGTGCTTTAATCACGTGTATATTTCAATCACGTTTTCCATGATTCTCAGATCCAGAGGTCGCACACGTTCAGTAGCAGCGTTACTTCCTCTTGCACCCGGTCTAGTATCTCTTCAGTTCTGAAATGACTACATTTAGGCTGTGTTTTAAAGGTTTGCTTTAGCATAGAGCATTGAATGGTTAGGTTACTTGCTGGTAGGGCTGTCAAATTTGGCCCAAGCCCAAATGACCCGCCCAACCCTCCCAAGGTTGGGTTGGTTATTGACCCGCCCATTTATTGAACTTAGCCCATCTTGGCCCAACCCATCTCAACCCATTTAAAGTTGGGCTAATTTTTAGCCCAAATTGATCCATGAGTAAGTTTGTCAAAATATCTTAGAAATAATTTTATTTTTTGTTTAATATTTTAAATATGACCATAACAAAAGCAAAAAAGCCTTATTTAGTAATTATACAATTTATAAGAAAATAACACATATTAATTAAAGTTTAATAAGAGTTGGGCGGGTTGGGTTATGACCCAAATTTTAACCCATCTTGACCCAACCCATCTTAGCCCAAGTAACTTTTGGGCGGGTCAAATGACCCGTCCAATTATTGACTCAATCCATTTTAACCCGCCCAAAATTGATCCAACCCGCCCATTTGACACCCCTACTTGCTGGTTTACCAGTTACCACCTTATGGGCTTTAGATAAACTTTGTCAATGTCGTGCCTTTGCTGACAGGCCATAACTAAACACTATGGGGTCGTTTGGTCTGCGGACAGAATTATCTTGGGATTATAATTTTGGGATTAGTAGTGGGAGTTTTATAGCTTTACCCACAAAAATTAAAAGAATTACCCTTACCTACCCATTAGTTTTTCTACCCACCAAACTAATTACCCTTCCTATCTATAACAGCTTTTGTGAGCAATATTATTAGTGGAAGGAGAAAGGGGAATTGTGGTTGTGGCTATGCTTTCAAAAAGTTAAATGGAAAGTCATAAGAGTCTATTGTTAAATCGTGAGATAAAATTGTGCCCATAATTTATTCTTGACACATTACGTAAGGAGGAGGGAAGCGAGAACTGAGAAACCCAATAAGAGGTGAAATCGTAGGTTGTCCATAAAAGTTAAGTATCGAGAAGGGATAGATAATTATTATTTTCATCATCTACTTTTAATAGAATAAATAACATCTTCATGGAATTCCATTCAACACCTCTATTAGGAAAAAAATTGTGAAAAGCATGAGAACTTTATTAAAATATTTAAAAGATCCAGTAAAAAATTTTAAAAATAACCCAATTATAACATCCTATTGTATATTATAATAATATATTATTGTAGTAAACTATATACTATTGAATTATATATTATATACCAAAATAGCATACAATATATGAAAATGATATTTTATGTTCTTCTCAACATTATACTATTACATTAAAATAGTATACTATTATGGTATATCATATACTATTACAGCATATCACATTATTACAATATACCGTTGTATATTATATACTATAATAGTACACAACTGCATTATAGATATATGCTCCTACAATATATTGTATACTGTAATGGTATACTGTTAGGTAACTGTGTTCTTCTTTGATTATTATAGTATACCGTTGCAGTATATTGTATACTATAATAGTATATTGTTGCAATATAGCTATATACTCCTGCAACATATTGAATACCGTAGCAGTATAGTATTAGGTAAATGTGTTCTTTTTCGATTTTCAGCTGAAAGATTCGATCTCAATCACCTCAAATCAATTTCAAATGTGATCAAATTTCATTATGAACTTCCAGAAGGTACTATAAGCAATATTTAATAACACCCACTTTGAATCAAATAAGAAATCTTCAAAAACAAAAATTGAACTTCAAGCCAACAATGGTGGATATTCAAACACACATAAAAATTCAGATTTGGGAAGCTTACTCGAAGGTACGATAAGTAATATTTTATAGCACCCATATCGAATCAAAGAATAAACCTTCAAAATAAAATTTCAAATTTTAGGAGCTTCAAGTTCAACAATGGTGGGTCTTCGTACACATACAAAAATCATAAGGAAAAGAGGTAGAGCAATAGCTTGGGTTGACCCTCTTAATGAAGATCGATCTAGGATAGAAGAAGTAGATCCATTAAGTTCACTACCAGGTAATCTTGCAAAAATGAAGCCGAATTTTTTGACATTTTGTACTTCAAATGAGAAGATGTGTGAGTCGGATAAATAGTTTTGGGCTGCATAGGTAGGAAAAGTAAATAATTTAAGCTTAGATATTAAAGGGTAAATAATTTGGGCTCAATGAGTATAAAGTAAAAAATTTCCATTAATAATCCCCTGGGCTATTTAGTGCTACTACTTTGTTTGGTTCGTTGGATTAAAAATGGGATATACTATATATAATACATGTGTTTGGTTTAAATGCGTATAACTTGGATAAAATTGTATTTCCTATTTTAACGTTGGATATTACATGACTTATACAAACTTTATCTATATCTATATTATATTAAAAGGAGGATAGTTTGACTTAATATTAAGCCAAGTGGTATATTAAGAACAAGCCACTTGGCACTATTAGGAAATCTATTTGTTGGATTCTATTTCCACTAATTTTGAGAAAAATTATTAGTTGATCAAGAGACATTCAAATAAATAAATAAAACCAAGCCATTCAAGTACACTAGAAAGAGGGATGCAACATTCTTAAGCATCAATTCGGCTAACAAAAATGTTCTCAGTATCTGTAGGTATCCTTTTTTTTTAGAAAGAATCATTAAAATTTCGTTTGGTATATTACACATTAATGTTAAGTTGAAATACTAATTTTATATTTAGTACACGATTTGTATCTGACCTTATTTGCGAATAATATACATTAATACAAGTATCATATACATTACTATAAGTATTTTTAATTAAATTTTGTGTATAATTTAATTATGGTAGGAATTCCTTTTTAGGAAAGACTTAATTAAATAAATATTTTGTATCTTACATCTATATTATATTAAAGGAAATAGACTAAAAAAGTTCATAAAATAATCAAAGCCAAATATTTTAAGATTTAAACAAAAAATATTCTCTTTTGAGAACCCGTTGGACGTACATACACAAAAATAAATGCAGTTTCACGAAGCAAACAAATATAAGTATCTTTAATTAAATGTGTCTAATTCAATTATGGTAGGTCTTCTTTTTTGAGAAAGAATCAATTAAAATTTCGTTTTGTACCTTACACATTAATGTTAAGTTGAAATAATAATTCTACATTTAGTACAAGCTTTGTATCTGACCTTATTTGCGAACAATATATATTAATATACGTATCATTTAGCTATGGTAGGTATTCTTTTTTAAGAAAGAATTAATTAAATATATATTTTGTATCTAAATAAATATTTTGTATCTTACATCTATATTATATTAAAGAAAATATATGAAAAAAGTTCATAAAATAATCAAAGCCAAATATTTTAAAATTTAAACAAAAAATATTCTCTTTTGAGAACCCGTTGGACGTACATACACAAAAATAAATGCAGTTTCACGAAGCAAACAAATATAAGTATCTTTAATTAAATGTGTCTAATTCAATTATGGTAGGTCTTCTTTTTTGAGAAAGAATCAATTAAAATTTCGTTTTGTACCTTACACATTAATGTTAAGTTGAAATAATAATTCTACATTTAGTACAAGCTTTGTATCTGACCTTATTTGCGAACAATATACATTAATATAAGTATCATTTAGTTATGGTGGGTATTATTTTTTAAGAAAGAATTAATTAAATATAAATTTTGTATCTTACAAGAAAGATCATACGTTGAAACTTCTGCAAAGATCCTTATAAATTGATTTACTACTATAGTCTTTTCTTACAAATCTTTATTTAAGCAACTTTTATTTAGGTTTGGCTTCTCTACATTGCTTAGGGTTTAGCTCCCTCACAAACTTCTGCAAAGTACGACTCCAAACTATAACTATATTAGCGAAATAGCAATGTCCAAAATGAGTTGGGATTTGAAAGTTCGTGTTGTTAGATTGTGGCACATTCCAGACCGCGAGAAACCAAAAAAATTCTAATTCAATCGAATTAATTATNACAAATATATTATAGCTATAGGTATCTTTACTTAAATTTGTGTATATTTCAGTTATGGTAGGTATCCTTTTTTGAGAAAAAATCAACTAAAATTTCTTTTTTGTATCTTACACATTAATTTTAAGTTGAAATAATAATTCTATATTTAGTACAAGCTTTGTATCTGACCTTATTTCCGAACAATATACATTAATATAGGTATCATATACATTATTATAGGTATCTTTAATTGAATTTTGTTTATAATTCGGTTATGGTAGGTATTCTTTTTTAAGAAAGAAATAATTAAATAAATATTTTTTTATTTATGAGTTTTGGTATCTTTAATTAAATATTGTGTATAATTCAATTATGGTAGGTATTCTTTTTCGAGAAAGAATCAATTAGAATTTCGTTTTGTATCTTACACATTAATTTTAAGTTGAAATAATAATTCTATATTTAGTACAAGCTTTGTATCTGACCTTATTTGCGAACAATATACATTATTATAGGTATCTTTAATTAAATTTTGTGTATAATTCAGTTATGGTAGGTATTCTTTTTTAAGAAAGAAATAATTAAATAAACATTTTGTATCTTACATCTATATTATATTAAAGGAAATAGTATTGAAAAATAAACAAGAGGACAAAGGAAAAAGACAAGAAAAATTAAGGCTTGGTGGTTACCAAATTTTAATTAACCACAAAAAAAAATATTGAAAAATTAAAATAGCCAAAAAGCTAAAAAATAAAGATCCGTATCATTTCTTGCGCACTCACTCATAAAA